TTTAATTTGATATGTTTTTTGGGTGTATGTGCCTTTGAAATCGACAATCTTTTTGTCTAAATTTATACATGTGGAACACTTTCCACATTTATGGAAACCTGGAGTTTTTGATGATTCCAAAAAATATATATATATACTATCTTTGATATATGTTCAGTTATTATTAATATTTGTACATGCTGTTCCCATTGTACATTGGATTGGGCTACAATGGTATTATACATTTGTTTTTCCAAATTTGTACCCTTTTGGGGCTTCATGTATATAACAATCATGCATTCTGATATCACAGAATATATATTGTACTATTACTCCTTTTTTATAATGTCTTACATGTCATGTCTTATATATGACATGTACTAATCTGGTCCATATTATACAACATCCATTTAGTCCTCTATAGTTATTCTTTTTTATCTTATGCAGATTTTTATGCTTTATTATTCTCATGGCATACAGACTTCTTTCTCTGTCCCATATTTGTATAATGGGAACTGATTGTTGCCCCAGAGGGGAAGCCTTCTCTGCTGCACTTCTATTAGTGCTAGCAGAGGAGGGCTCCCCTCGAGCGGATTAGATCCGAAACCGGAAGTGATGTCATGCGTTCCAAGGTGGAACGCAAGAAGCCCTCTTGATTGGATGAGACCGGAAACCGGAAGTGACGCTATGCGTTCCAAGGTGGAACGCAGGAAGTCTAAGGGCCGAAAACTGGAAGTAACATGTGAATTTCCCCGCGAATTTGAAAATTGGCATGATATATAAACCATGAAGATTACAACACATCTATATCCCTGAGGAAGTCACCATAGTGACGAAACGCGTTGGATACTACTTTTGGACTTTTTATGCTAATATACAGCTGTTATTATAGTCCATTTGTTATTTTTATTTATTTTATTTTATTTTTTAATTTTGTGTACCTCCATTTTGGGATCTCTCTCTACTTTCATCTGGAGACCCGGCCATTACTTCATTATGGAGATATGCTGTCTTACTTCTGATTTCTTGTAAGTGCAATATTTGGAATAAATCTTGTTATTTTTATACAATCTGCACTATCTATATTTTTTCTTTTGTTCCTGAGCTGAAGGAAAAAGGGATATTTTATTCCTGAGCTGAAGAAAAAGTGATATTGTCAGTCCTCGCCATATATATTCGACCTCCAATGTGGAAAGTACCTCTGACAGGGTGACAGGCGTGATTACTACTCCCTTCTTATTCCACGTTCATTTTCAGCCATATCCAGGTTGTATTGTTCCTAACCACCCTCTATTTGTATATATCACCTTTGGGTTTTTATATATACGTCCTTGTGTTTATTCTTTATAGTGTGTGTGTGAGGTACACTTCTCCGAGGGTGTGTTTTTCTAGTGTATCATATAGTAAGCATATCCTTTTTTGTTCTAATGAGGCCACTGCTGGGTGGCCAGCCATTCGGCAAATAGTTCGGTAAAACGGGGAAATAACATGGGGACCGTACGGACAGGGAAATGCACGAACAAACAGACAAATGAGCATAAAATACAAGTAATTCCAAGACAGAGGGATCTGTCACAATAACCATCACACACAGCCAATAAACCCAGCACAAATATCACATACAACCAATACACGCATATCACACACTGAACCCATTACAAATATCACACACAGCCAACACATAGCATACATATCTCACACAGTCATCACATCTATCACATACACAGACAACACAAACATTACATCATACATGGATGAAAGGGGGGGGCGCGTGGTGAAGATTTTTCGCACAGGGCACCTAAAGGCCTAATGCCGGCCCTGTACAAACTAGTAAAATTATTCACTGTCTAAATATCTTAGAAGTTGTATTTAAGGTATTGAACCGTTGGTACCTGGTCCCATCAAAAATGGCAAAAATGTATAATTCTAGTTCACCGATATGCTGGAGATGCATCAAAGACGAAGGATCTTTTCTGCATATGTGGTGGGATTGTGAGAAAGTGAAAGAGTTCTGGTTACTGGTCCTCAGTGGATTAGAGAGAATAATAGGGAAAACAATTCCTAGAGGTCTACAAAATATTTTACTACAACTTAATTTACAAACATTACAATGTAAGGAGATATATATATATATATATATGTACACTTTGTGGCTGCAGCTAAATTAACTATTGCACAAAAATGGAAGTGTTCAGAGAATTTTGAATATGAACAATTAAAAATACAAATTCTATACCAACTAAGGATGGAAGCTTTAATGTTTATGCCCCAAAAAACCTGGAGCTATGTAGATATTGGATGGAGAGAACTGGGAGTGTGAGTAACATTTCCCGAACAAAAGACTTAGAATAAGATAAATTATATTAGTGTCAAAGTTTATTAATAGCTTAACAGAAGATCCACAACAAAGCCCCAAAGGTGTTAATGTAATGTAATATAAGTAATGTAAGTGTTGTATGTCGCATTGAATTGTTTACTGTTTTATAGTTGGATACGAGTAGTGCTGCAACCCTCAATGCAATTGTCTTTTTGTCGTATGGAAATAAAAATACAAATTATTGAAAAAGAAAAAAAAAAGATGCGGCGGTTATAGAAAGTGTGAATTTATAAGGACTGCTCACACCTGCAATTTTTCTTAGTATGGTATTCAGGATCACAATAAACATCACAAGTGTGAAGATGCAAATCTTCCAAATCTTCAATCACTTAAACCTTATAAAATACATAAAGTGTAAAACCATATACTCCAATATAATATAAACCAAATATTGCACTCACAAACGTAGGATGCCAGAAGGTGCCACACATATAGTTGTGCTCGCTCAAAAGTTTGCATACCCTGGCAGAAATTGTGAAATTTTGGCATTGATTTAGAAAATATGACTGATTGTGCAAAAATATGTCTTTTATTGAAGGATAGTGATCATATGAAGCCATTTATTATTACTTAGTTGTTTGGCTCCTTTTTAAATCTCAATGATAACAGAAATCACCCAACTTGTCCTGGTCATAAGTTTACATACCCTTACATGTTTGGCCTTGTTACAGACACACAAGGTGACACACACAGGTTGAAATGGCAATTAAAGGTTAATTTCCCACACCTGTGACTTTTTAAATTGCATTGAATGTCTGCTTTCACCTGGATGCACTGAGCAGACTAAACAGGAGCTAAAGAGGAGCAGCAGGAAGAAGGTGACAGCACCCGAAAAGGGCATGTTCAGGTAAGTATAACTCACCTTCCCTTGCATCCCCTCTAAAACCTCACTGCCAGTGGAGCATTCACCATTGCCAGGCACCCTTCCCCTCTCCACCTACTGCCTCTGTGAGAGTTTAAGCTTTCTGCCAGAGTTAAGCCCAGTAGAGGAGCAGGCAGTGAGCAATGCCTGATGGACCCTAGATAGGAAGTCAAGCCATTCTTACATTGGGGTGGGGGTGGGGGGCTTGTACCAGGGCACTCCTGGCGCTATAACCTCTACAGCAGTGGTGCCCAAAAGGTAGATCCCCAGATGTTGTCGAACTACAAATCCCAAGTATCATTGAAGCTGTAGTTTTAAAACATCTGGGGATCTACATTTTGGGCACCCCTGCTCTACAGCATATTGTGCTATAGTGGTTATGGTGCTTGCAGTGTTTCTTTGACTTTATAAAGTGGCAGTTTCTGTTTTATAAATTAATAAATGATTGCTCGTGGTAATGTCCAAAAAGTAAATGTTTTTCCTATTACAATATTTTATCTTCTTCTGTCCACCTTCCAAAGTATCGACTTCTTCTGCCTCACCTTGATGTCTACAGCAGGCTGTGTCATTTGTCGGGAAAGCAAACAATCACCGGTGGTACTAAGCAATGCAACGGTGGACAAAATACTAGATCAATCATAGATATTCTTCAGAGAGCTGTGACTCAGGATTCATGGCCATTGGGTGAATCAAGGTGAGTGAGGATTCTCTGTTAGATTGCTGCTGACAAAGTTATCCCCTGAGTATTAGGATGAGTGTTTTACACCTCTGTTGTTATCACCCACTGTGTATTTTTGTTCTAGAACTAAAGATGTTTCTAGTCTTGGGAAAAAAAGAGAATTGCACCTACTGCAACAAAGAGGACGAACACAGTAATAAATGGACTTTATTTCAGTGCTGTCCAAACGATTTAACGTAAAAAAAAAATCTTTGCCATCAGTAACCTTTCCTTCGCCCACTTGTTGAAGTGCACTCATAAGCTGTTTCCCCAAGATTAACAACCCCTGTAAAATTGTATTACAATTTGAACTGACTACCCAGAATCCACATGTCTGAACTTTACTCCCACATGTTCAGATGAGGAGTAAACTCATGGCCAAAAGCCTGAGATGTTGTTTCTGAAGAACTATGAATTAACTTGGGCTGAGACAGATGTCAGTGTCTCCCGTGTAATCTCACTTATTAATGACTTGAGGGAATTCTCAGAGAAAACATTATAGTTAGTAAGATGGTAACAAGAATATAACACGGACTCCAGCAAACTTCCAAATATCTCGTCCAAAGATACATTGATCTGCTAGTCATGGCTTAAGGATTAGAAACACTGTTCTAGGTGCCATGTTGCTCTAGTCCACCACACTATATAACTGCATCTTGGGCTGTATAGGTGGCCGAGACCCTATTACATCTCGTTGTCCACTCTGTCCTGGAAACCAGGCATTAAACAATGCTTTATCCGAGTAACCCTCACCAACATCATCTTAATATGTCTATCTTTTGAGTACCACAGAGTTTTGTATTCACATGGACCAAACATTGGAGTATATTTATACAAAAAAGCAAGTCCTGCGCTCAAACTCCCATCACTCCTAGGTGGCAGCAACGACCGTAGTACACATCAGCCCCAATACATACAGTAAAAAACAAAGAAATAAAGTTACCTGCGCTCTCTCCTAAATCCCTATGTATATTTAAACAAATGGAGGTTATTTAGTTACTCCAATGGCCATTGGAGGGAATGCCCGCCTGCCAACGTCAAGGCAAACCTCTTAAGCGGGTCCTACACTGACCTTTCACCCTGCTTCACTGAACTTCTGGCAAAGATATCTCTAATGAGACAAAGAGTGGTATTTTTTTTTATATACACCCCTACATACTTATCAACCCTTAATGTATGAGTATATATATATAAAAAAAAATACCCTTATCTGTCTCATTAGAGATATCTTTGCTATAAGCTCAAGGAAGCAAGGTGAAAGGCCAGTGTAGGACAAACCTGAGAGGTTTACCTTGATGTTGGCAGGTGGGCATTCCGTCCAATGGCCATTGGAGTAACTAACTAACCTCCATTTGTTTAAATATACATAGGGATTTAGGAGAGAGCGCAGGTAACTTTTTTTCATTGGAGTGTATTTAATCTAAATTCCTTATGGAGGGTAAGGAGCACTAAGCAATCCAATATTTTTTTTACTTTTTATTTTGCTGAAATATATTAAGCTAGGAAGATGATTATGTCCCATTGGCAGGAAGTCCAAGCTGTAGAAGCATCTTTGCATTCCAGACCAAACGGTAGCATGCGTAGATATAGGAATGAGATTAATTAGCGTGATGTGCAGAGGTTCAGCTTTACTTTATCAGCTACATATGTGGTGTTACGAGGCCATGACAGCCAGTGACAGCTCCCCGATGCTAGTTAAAGCTGACATCGTTATAGATGATCTCAAGACATTCAGATTTTGTTTGGTTTGAACTTCTTATTTTCACCGCTGAGTAGATAATGGTCTGTAAAAGGAAAACACAAATCATGTGTATTAGATCTGCCATCATCACCCGGCTTTTATAATGTCAGTAACGGAACAAGCCAAGTCCGCCCACAAGGATGAAGTGTGTGTAGAATGTGTGTAGTGGATGGGGTATGTGTGTTATGTATGCAGTGTGTACAGTGGATGCAGATTGTATATTTTGTGTAATGTCTATAATGTTTGTATGCATTAGATGCAGAGTGTGTGTGTAGTGAATTTAGGTGTGTATAGTGAATGCAGAGTGTGAGTTTGTGTAGTGGATGTAGTTTGTGTATAGTGAATGCACAATGTGTGATTGTATAATGATTGCAGAGTGTGTTTTTGTAGTGGATGTAGTGTGTGCATAGTGAATGTAGTGTGTGTAGTGAGTGCAGAGTGAGTTTAGTTAATGTAGTGGATGCCGAGTGTGTATAGTGAATGTAGTGTGTGTAGTCAGTGCAGAGGGTATAGTGAGTGTTGTATGGTGTAGTGAGTGCAGAGTGTGTATAGTGAATGTAGTGAATGCAGAGTGTGTATAGTGAATGTAGTGTGTCTGTAGTGAGTGCAAAGTGGGTTTAGTGAAGATGGTGTGCTTGTAGTGAGTGCAGAGTGTGTATAGTGAATGTAGTGTGTGCAAAGTGTGTTTTGTGAATGCAGTGTGTTTGTAGTGAATGCAAAGTGTGTATATTGAATGTAGTGTGTGTAGTGAGTGCAGAGTGTGTACTTGTAAGGGTGCAGTGTGTTTGTAAAATAGGGGGAGAAGCATTTTTAAAATACATTTTATTTGTGTATATTTCATATTATTCCACCCTCCCTGCTTCTTACCTTGCCAGGGAGGGGGGAGATCACATTGTTGAGGGAGACTTCAGTGCCCCTTGAAGCTTTAGGCACACTGTAGCATCTACAGAGAAAGTCTGTAACATGCTCAGTGTTGTGGACAAAAATATGAACTCAATATATGTTAGTAAAATGCCTATTTACTCAGCATACCTACAATCAGCATTATTCAACTTAATTTGTGATTTACCTAAAATGGCCGCTAGGGAGTTTCCCTTTGACATCGACTAACACCCTCACTAATAAGATGGCGCTGGAATCCTCGGGAGACCTCCAAGATACCAGTGACATCACACGCGGTAGGAAGAGCAATAAATGAACCACTTAACACCTAACCAATTATTGATGTATTATTTCATGTTATCTCTGACAAAGCATATGATGTACACACTCTGCACTCACTACACACACTACATTCAATATACACACTTTGCATTCACTACAAACACACTGCATTCACAAAACACACTTTGCAGAATAAACATTCCTCAAGTTTTTCATTAACCCGAAACCTGTGTCTGGTGTGAATTACTTTAGGAGCGTGCACGCACTACTTCTTTAATTTGGCCGGGGGCAGATACACAAGATAATCAATTAATTGATTGATTCCACATCATTTGGCGCCCAACGTGGGGCACTGGATTTCGCCGGTTCCGATGGCCGGAAAACGGGACCGGAGCGGACCTCCGGAAAGTGGGACAGTCGGAGCCTGATCACCTCCTAAATACAGCGGTTTGTCTCTCTTCCACCTTCCATTTTCACTGCCGATCCCGTCCCTCTACTATCTCCCCCGTCACTTCTTCGGATGTTACCCCTCTCCCATTCTTTCTATCATTCCTCCTATTCCTGCTACCCTCCCATCTTCACATGCTGCCTCCCCTGTCACCCCCCTCATTCCTCTCCCTGACATTCCTTCTATTCCTGTTCCCCTCCCGCCTCCACCCGTTGTTCTCCTTGTTGCATCTCCCTCTGCCTTATCTCCCTCTCCCCTTACTATTCCCTCTATTCCTACTCATCCCTCTCCTTCCCCCATCACCCCTTCTGTTCCAGTTTCAGATTCACCTCCCCTTCCCACCCTGTTGCCCCTCCCTCCTTTGATCTCTCGTCACTTATTTCCGCCCTCTCTACCTCCAGTGCCACTTCCTCTTCTCCTCCACCTCCCTCTCCTCTCGCCACCGCCCCCTCCATCCCAGTTCCCATCCCCTTCCTGTCTCTAACCCCGTTGTCCCTCCTTCGATCTCTCGTCACTTATTTCTGCCCTCTCTGCCTCCAGCGACACTCCCTCTACTCCTCCACCTCCCTCTCCTCTTCCCGATTCCCATCCCCTTCCTCTCTCTAACCCTGTTGTCCCTCCCTCTTTTGATCTTTCATCACTCGTTTCCACCCTCTCCGCTCATTTGCCTCAGCCTACCCAGCCGCCCCCTCGCCCATTCCAACTCCTGTCTCCACTTCCCTCATGACGGTTCCCAGTTATCCGATTATGGTAGTAGGTTCGAATTAGTCTACCATGTCGGGAACCCCTCACGGTGTAGGCATTTCTCCTGCACTGCCTCCCAGTTAGTTACTCCCCAGGCCATCGCTGTCGGTTCCCCCGGCTCTGATGCTCCAGCTGCTCAAGCCCCTAATTCACAAGATGTTGCCAGCTATTGTGGTCTCCCATTTCTGGTCCCTTCGGAGGATGACAATGTGCAGGGGCTCAGCCCATTCCGTCCTTTGGATAATAGGATTTCCCAGAGACAGGGCACCCATATCCATGCCCAGATTCATAAAACATACTCAGCAGCCTGGCGTGATCTGTATAGTCTGTGTGAGATCAAAGCTGGGGATGCTTATTGGCCCATTATGGAAAGGAGTTTTAATGATGCTCTCCTCACTACCAACATGGATTTCCAGTCGGGTATTACTTTCTGTGAACAGCTTCGAGCCTGGGATCAGGATAAACTAGCTGACCAAGCCACTTGTATAAATGACATTATACAAGATAAACTCAAGTCCGTGGAGAAGTACCATTCATGCTTGACCCAAACCTTCTCAGACCTTGGGTTCAGTGTACACAACAAAGCACATACCCAGATGTTATCTGCTGCCTTTGTTGCAGGCCTTAAGGAAGCCATTAGGAAAGGCCTAGTGCTCTCCCGTCCCCAATATAGAATTATTCCTCTGGATACTCTCTTACTAGTTTCCAAAGGCCCCACCCCATTCCCCCCAGGATATCCTGTGCCATCTACCCTGCCAGCTGCACAGGGACAGCCCATGATACCTCAGACTAGGACATGCTTTAATTGCAACCAACTGGGCCATTTCCGGAGAGATTGCCTTCACCCCAGGGTGCCTAGACAGCCAACCACTAGACCGTCTAATCCTGTCTTCGGCTATCCTATGTACCCCAATGCCCCTGCAGCCACTTATGGTTGCTTTCCTCCACAGGTACTCCCACCTCCCCAGGCAAATACTTCATATTTCCCTTCTCAGGAATATGCCCAAGCCGTATACCAACCCTCTCCAGCAGATACCCGCAGCTATGCTCACCCTTCCCCTGATTGTTATGATACTCCCACCTCTGATGCTCGCCTTCAAGATTTCTTGAGGGATGCACCGTTCCTGTGGAACTTGCTTCCCTCCTCCGTTAGATGCTCACCCAGTCTCCACTCCTTCAAAAAATCGTTAAAAACCCACTTCTTCATAAAAGTATATCAATTAAACTGTTAATAGCTCCTGACTGATTCCTCTTCTGCAACTGTCATTAGTCTAATACTGTCCTTACCTTTTTGTGTCATTTTACCCCACTCCCTCTAGCATGTAAGCTCATTGAGCAGGGCCCTCAACCCCTCTGTTCCTGTGTGTCCAACATGTCTGGTTACAACTACATGTCTGTTCGTCCACCCATTGTAAAGCACTGTAGAATTTGACGGCGCTCTATAAATATCATAATAATAATAATAATAATACAGATGATTATTAACCAGATGACCGTCCTGTACCCAGTCAACAGCGCCCAATGTGCCAGCCTCATCAGGCCAGTCATTCCACCACAACTACACGTCACTACACTGGCCCTGATCAATCTCATCTAGACCTTGTGCAAAAGGTAACCGGAAAACCTGTGTCTAACACCCCTGTCATGGCAGTGTCTACAGGGGACAAAGGGGGACCTCTCGCCACAGTTATCCTACCCATAGAGGGTCATCCTACTACCTTTTCAGTTGACACAGGTGCAGCCCACAGTGTTCTCAGAGAACAAGACCTGCCTGACCCATCTTGCTTATCCGACATAGATGTCTCTTGTGTTGGTGTCGAAGGCAACCCCTACGAATAGCCCATTAACTAAGCTCTTGTGAGTGGGTTCCGACATACTCTTACGCTTTGTTGTCTCTTCAACTGGTCCAATTAACCTTTTAGGTGCTGATGATCTGTCCCGTCTTCAAGCCTCTATCTCTTTCATTGCTGATGGCCAGGTCCAATTATTAACCCCCCTCTCTCGTAAGGATACGTCTGTCCACTGCTCTCTACCCTTACTACTACACATAACATCCCCCACCGAGGAGATAAGGGTCCCAGACGCCCCCAGTGCCCTGGATAGAGTCCCTGATAAACTTTGGTCCACGGGTCCTGATGACATTGGACGCCTACGAGTCCCACCTGTGGTAG